GCTGCTGGGGCCGGTTCTGGAGCCCAAAGCATGGCTTCTGGGGCTCGGGCTGCTAGCCTGGGCTTGCGACTCCTTCTCTTAGGAGCCTTTTGGAGGCTCCGTGGACCTCCAAAAGCCAGACGAGTGCCCGAGAACGGCTCCTGGACAGGAGCAGGAAATGGGGAAGAAGCAGGGGTTGACTCCAGACGGAACACACCGAGATGTATGGTGTCAGGTTGGGAGTTGGGAGGCAGGGGGCTAGCATGCCTGGGGCTAGCAGGCCGGGAATCACACGTCGAAAGGAAATCCAAAATCCAATCAGGTAAGAACTTAACTAAAGGTTGATCCACTGTTGCCACCTGGTGAGCTTCTGCCAGAGCAGCCTCTCTCTGCTGAACACTGGACGCTCCCCTCCACCTTCCATAGCAGCAAGCCAAAGAAAAGGTAACATTTTGTAAATCCACCTCAAATGGACCTGCTGGGCCCATTTCTGGTTGGTTCATTCTGTCAGGGTTGAGTAAGCAGGCAGGACCCAAATGCAGATTTCCAAGTATATTCCTTTAATCCAAGGTACGAAGTAGAACACAGAACACTACCCTGTGACACACAGTCAAATACAAACAATGAACCAACAATGACAGACAGAAAAACCAGAACTAAAATACACACAAGACCAATCACACAAACAAGACACAGGTGAGGAGGGAGGAGAAAACACAGGGGCACCAGGTGAACACAATCGGGCAATCAGGCAGGAGGGAACACAGACACAGGAAGAACACAGAGACAGGAAGCAACAGGCAAGACAGGGGTGAACACCTTTCAAAACAAAACAGGAAACCAAAGACAGAAAAAGACAAGACAAAACACAACACAGACAGATCGTGACAGATTCAGGCTCTCCATTGGCAGGTTGTACACACAGGTGTTTGTTTGTGTGTTGGGTTTCCTCTCACACTGATCATTCCTGCCTTCACGGGTGTAAATGAGTCCTGGAGAGTGCTCAGAGTTTTTGAACCAATAAACACTGTGTTCTCCATCACAGCTGCCAGTGTGTACTGTACAGTTCAGAGTCACAGAGTCTCCTGACTGGATGATCTCAGATTCTGACTGATGGACTGAAGCTGTGATGTTCAAACCTGAACCCTGAACATCGATAAAAGAGCCTTCCGCAAAATCGAAGACATTTTGAGAAAATTGCGCAGTAGTAGGTAGCTGAGTCGGAAATGTGCACATTTGAAATTGTCAACTGATTTGTACTATTTCCTCTATCCTGTGTAAAGCGTGACTTGTTGTTGAATTCATCATAAAAAGTGGGTCTTGCATCATACAGATAGGCGGAAGAGATGAGCCTCGGTTTCTGTCCCAGAGTTTGTTTGTACCAGTAAATCCAACTTGTATCACCAGCTTTATAGAAGCATCGCAAAGTCACATTTTCTCCAACCTTAGCTGATATAAAACGTTTATCTTGACGAACACTTGAAGATAGTTTCAGATCAGTCGTCTGAGCTGAAATAAGAGTGAAAGAAATAAACAATTAATAAGATTGGATGAATTCAGCAAGTACTGTAGTTTACATGAAAACTATTGAAAGCATTTCCATGAAAAGCTGCTGAAAAGAAAAAGCTGCATTAATATACAACTCACCGATTGTTCCCAAGAACAAACACGTCAGATATAAGACCAACTTGGGAGACGTCATCTTGTTCGAATTCTTGAGTTGAGTGAAAATGATCTTGAAACCTTCTTCACTCTTAAGAAACAAGACTGTGTTTGATTGGCCAGCCTGAAGTGACATTGTACATCCTACTTTTAAAAAACTTGATCACATGTTCACTGCCATCTATAGTTTCAAGTTTGGTTCTTGAGAAGATTCACTTGGTGAAAGGTGAATGAAGAACACAATGGCTCTTTATCTTAGTATCATATTTAAAATCAGGGAGAATAAACTCTGTGTACACATAGTTTTCACCATAGTAGTGCTGTGAATATAATAGGAAAGGTTAACAAGTTAGTTGCAGATGTGCTTTAGGCTTCGGCTTAGCTAAATTCATACAACAGGTTTGGTTTTACTTTAAATTGAATGGCATTTACTTGGATTGAGACACAGAAACTCATGGTGCCCCAAGATTTGAGAAATGTAATGCATATTGGACAAAAGTGTCAAGTTACCAAATTATTCACATATACTGTTCCTGTGTTTACATGGGTCAGACGTATGTGGAAAATATAAATTGGCAATAAAACAATTGTACAATAATCTAATGTAAATCTATTAGGGATTATTGAAGAAACTCTTTCTACCATATAGGTTTATTTCTGTAGGCCAAGGTCTTATTAATAATTGAGACATCAACATTTTTTTAGCCATGCCTTTTATATGAAACTAATTGCTTAAAATACTTGTTAATACCTATAATCAGCAATATTCCAAACAAAATAGAATTAATTACACAATTATTTGTAGTTTTAACCTGTTAAGCCCTGAGCCTGTTTTTCAGGTCTCAGGCTCGAAAATGACATTCCCAGAACAAATGACCATATCTTTCCTTCTAAAAGGGTTAAATTAATAATCTTTGTTCTCAAAGTAATGATAAACCTGTGAGTTGGATGTAGAAAAGTCAGAATCAATATAGATGTTTTTTATTTTAAAGAAAATTCAGATTTTACATTGTAAAAAACTGTAAATTATAGTGTCTGTCCAAAAATTCTTACTTATAGTGAAAACCACCCTTGGATGATGGGTTAGTAGACTAAAAGCTTTAGGAATCCAAAGTACAACATATAATAAGTACCCTGTATCAAGATTGATGCAAAACAAGTTACATTTGACATTTTTAGAGAGATTTTGCAAAAATAAACCACTTCTGGGGTCATTTGGGTGGATTTTCCATATTTCTGGCCCCCCTTGCTCAATTTTGATGGTTGACACCTCTTTCTGACCGTTAGAGCCAATAGAATCGAAGGGGGAGTCCCCCACACACACACGTTGTGAAGAGAAAAGGTGGGGGCTTCGCGCATGTACTTTTCAATCAGAGTGAACCTATCTCTAGCTTTGACATCTGGAAACGGAAAAGCAGTTTTAAAGCTTATGGATTATCAGAAATAATTTCAAAGGGACACAGACACATTAGATTAACCTATGGATTAACTTCAGCAGCGTTTTTATCGTTTTAATGCCATTGAAGACCACTTTGGAGAGACTACAGAGCCAAGGTAAAAATGTTAGCATTTTTAGCTACCTAGCGTCACCTGTTTTGATGTCCGTTTTTGCTTATAACTTCGCAAATACGTATAATTCAGTGGTAATGTCGGTGTCAATAGATTCTGTGTCACCTCACGATGTGAATCGATGTGTTGGATGTGGTGAAAAGATAAATAATAAGGTTTTGTGAGTGATTTTCGGAGCAGTAAGGTGTTAGCATTTTTCGCTCGTTGCTAATTCAGAGGCTCAGTGTTAGCATTGTGGGATTTCTTTTGAAAAATAAATTAAAAAATGATCAGTTAGATGAGTTTCTTCCCGTTACATGGATATAAAACATTCATAGTTTTATTAAATGAACATGCCCTCAGACACTGTTTCCTGCAAGATGTTGCGGCAGTGCCCCGGTACCGGGGTCTCTCGGGCTTAACAGGTTGTGACCTGATAAATATTCTTCCTATTGCCCCTGCACTGCAAGTGGTCTTTTAATGAGCTTCTATGTAAGATTGCAAACAGAGTTACATCCCGCTAAAACCACAAAGGCTGCTGCACTAAGATACTTCACAAAGAAGTCTAAGAGTACCTACTTTTGAACCAGAGCACCCCACTGTGACATCCCTATGAAGCAGAAAAAGTCCCTCTGCTTTACTTTGACCTGTCTGCACTATAAGCCCCCCATTAAATCAAGAGAATGAGTGAATGCTGTTAGCAGGCCTCTCATTTATACTTTATACACACTGTATTATTTGTGTGAGTAATCCTTAGTACATTGAAACTTTTGACCAGTAAATATGCATTGCACATACTTTGCGTGTCTTGTAAGTCGTAGCCAAACAGCATCTTCTTGTGCTGAAAAATGAAGATAACGCGGAAGTGGAAAAACTAACTGCAGTTAATTGAATGGCCACTTGAGGCTAGCTCCAATACCAAATGAATCCCCTTTGACCTCCATGTTAAAATGCCCAACTTTACAGCAGAACACAACTTGTTTACAGCCTGGTAGAAAACACTATTTGGTCACTATAGTTCATATCCCTCTTATTGCCAACCGTACAGGGGCAAATGATCAAATAACTCAGCTATTTAAATCATATTAAGGCTCAGAGTTGCTGTTCTCCGTTCAGGGAGGAATATGGTGAGGACAGTTTTCGTTATAAAAAATAATTAATTTGAAACTTGAAGTAAGGCATGATTGTTTATCACTTTTTTTCTGCCATTAAACCATAACAGTTGAGATTCATCTCTTATCATCAAGGTGGGTGATTTCAACCACGTGCAACCAGGTGCCACCATACTACATTTATCCCAATTTTCTTGTTTATCTTATTATAAATAACATAAATTCAACATGCAAAAATAATACAATTGTAAAAACCCAAACAATGAGGATAAAGAAATATATGATCTTAGGCCTAAAAGCATTTTCTTTACTTTTACAATATCAATGAATCTGAACTTCTAAACATAGGCCACTGGTTAAGTCATACAAAAGCATGGATTATTTTTGTACTAAATTAAACCTATCAGCTGCTTTCCTGTTCCAAGAGTTTTCCCGCCTGTTTTGATTGGCCTTATTAGTTTGCCCATCCCCCATTAACCCTGCAGCAACCGGACTTTCTCTCTAAGTGTCCCCGATCCCCGCGTTTGATTAGATTGTATTTAAGTCCTTTTCTTTAGTTCATACTATGCTTCGTCGGTCAATCTGCTGCAGAACCAAACTATTTAGTCTTAATGCCATACTCTATCTTAAATGTCCAAAGGAGTATAGATCAGTAAAGGAAAATCAGATCTCCACACTTTTGTGAAAAGCACACCCTTTTTTATTTTGTCATAGTATTGAACAAGCTAAAAATATATAAAAAGAGGTCTGAAGATTGTCAAAAACAGAGATATCGCCATATGAGGAAGTGAACACATATGCATATAACATATTGTCTCAAGATGAAAGAGTCCATTTAATCAATTAGCCCTTTTTGATCATGACATGACATACAATGGACAGAAAAAAGCATATAAAGCACAACATTTTAGTTTTCTACAAAATATGAATACATGAAACTAAGTGATAATTTAAAAAAGATATGTTATGACAAGTTATTTTGGCTAAGGTTAAGGAAACTTAAAAAAAAGTCTAACATTATCTACAAATTGGTACCAAATTTGAAGTAAATTAGGAATATGTGGCTGCAATTTTGTAATATAGACCCCTAGGAAAATACATTTATCTCTTAATCTACTTCTAATTCTATTTTACATTTGGAAGATGACTGAATCTTATTTTAAATCAACACAAGTAATGTGTAGTAGGTCTACAGCTTGACACCAGAGTACACACATTCATCGTTGTTGATGTTCCTCTGTCGTCTTGATCTGTTGGGCACATTGACACTTAAAGCAGCATAATGGAGGCTGTTTGCATCGCGGTAACCCTGGTGACAAAATAAATATAAATGGATAAAGATATTGAATAGAAGTAAAAATGTAATCGATAAAAATTGAACTTATTGAGATAAATTTCACCTCTGCATTTGCTGTAGAGGGAGTTGATAATCTTGCTTCAGACTCTGGAAAGACATTTGAAAGACAGAATTTGCATTTTTCCAAAAGTTTCATTGGATGCAAACAAGCTTTCAGACACAAACAATAGGTACAAGTTACCTGTTGATTGGCAGATGTTTCTCTTTTTCATCTTGTACACTAAGAAAGCCAGTAAAACGACCAGAATGGAGTTGAACGCCAAAGCTCCACTTAAGAAATACACAAGAGAGTCGACCTCATCTGTAGACAGTAAACACCAAAAACAGAACGGTCAGCTTTTATCTTGTTGTTCATTTTAAATCTCACTTGGCCATAATTTACTCTTCATTAAATAATCCAGTAAATTGCTTACCTTCAAAATCGAGCTTGGTCCCATTTCCAAACAGTATGTGTCCACATGAGGCAACAGCACAGTAGTAGGTCCCAGCATGAGAAAGATTCAGGTTCTCCATTGGCAGGTTGTAATCACAGGTGTGTGTTTGTGTGTTGGGTTTCCTCTCACACTGATCATTCCTGCCTCCACGGGTGTGAATTAGTCCTGGAGAGTGCTCAGAGTTTTTGAACCAGTAAACACTGTGTTCTCCATCACAGCTGCCAGTGTGTACTGTACAGTTCAGAGTCACAGAGTCTCCTGGCTGGATGATCTCAGATGCTGACTGATGGACCGAAGGTGGGGGGTTTAAACCAGAACCTTTGACACTAATAATAGAGCCTTCCGCAAAATTCACCACAATGTTAGAGTAAGTTGCACAGTAGTAAGTAGCTGAGTCTGAAATGTGTACATTTAAAATTGTCAAGTGATTTGTACTTTCTCCGTGATCAAGTGTGAAGCGTGACTTGTTGAATTCATGATAAAAAGTGGGTCTTGCAGTATACTTATGGAAGGTAGAGATGAGCCTCGGTTTCTGTCCCAAAGTTTGTTTGAACCAGTAAAGCCAATCTGTATCATCATCTTCATTGTAGCATCTCAAAGTCACATTTTCTCCAACATTAGCAGATATAAAACTTTTCTCTTGGCGAACACTTGAGTATAGTTTCTGATCAGTCGTCTGAGCTGAAAGAGTGAAATAAATTCTTTAATAATTCAATTTGTTTATTTCAGCACATTGTTTACATAAACCGTATTAAAATCATTTTCATGAAAAGTTGCTGAAAAGAAAAAGCTGCATTAAAATACAACTCACCGATTTTTCCCAATAACAAACACATCAGATATAAGACCAACTTTGGAGACGTCATCTTGTTCGAATTCTTGAGTTGAGTGAAAATCATCTTGAAACCTTTTTCACTCTTAAGAAAGAAGACTGCGTTTGATTGGCCAGCCTGAAGTGACATTGTACATCCTACTTTAAAAAAACTTGATCACATGTTCACTGCCATCTATAGTTTCAAGTTTGGTTCTTGAGAAGATTCACTTGGTGAAAGGTGAATGAAGAACTAAATGGCTCTTTCTCTTAGTCTCATATTTAAAATCAGGGAGAATAAACTGCGTGTACACATAGTTTTCACCATAGTAGTGCTGTGAATATAATAGGAAAGGTTAACAAGTTAGTTGCAGATGTGCTTTAGGCTTCGGCTTAGCTAAATTCATACAACAGGTTTGGTGTTACTTTAAATTGAATGGCATTTACTTGGATTGAGACACAGACATTCATGTTGCCCCAATATATGTTTATTTGAGAAATGTAATGCATATTGGACAAAAGTGTCAAGTTACCAAATTATTCACATATACTGTTCCTGTGTTTATATGGGTCAGACGTATGTGGAAAATATAAATTGGCAATAAAACAATTGGATAATAATCTAATCTAAATCTATTAGGGATTATTGAAGTTGTTCGAAAAGAAACTCTTTCTACCATTGTCTTATTTCTGTAGGCCAAGGTCTTATTAATAATTGAGACATCAAAACATTTTTTTTATTGTAGCCATGCCTTTTATATGAAACGAATTGCTTCAAATACTTGTTAATACCTATAATCAGCAATATTCCAAACAAAATAGAATTAACTACAACATTATTTGTAGTTTTAATACTGTTAAATGTGACCTGATAAATATTCTTCCTATTAATGTAATTGCACTGCAAGTGGCCTTTTAAGGAGCATCTATGTAAGATTGCAAACAGAGTTACATCCTCCTAAAACCACAAAGGCTGCTGCACTAAAGGCGCGTTTCCACTACAGCGCGGAGCACGGTTTAAGAGGGCTGTGACGTCAGCGGCCCGTTTTTGGTTGCGTTTCCAGTTGGCCTAGTACCGGCTAGCGGGTCCTAATTCACAGTTTTTCTGGCCTCATAAAATCGTGGTTCTACGGCCAGGAACAACCAGGCTGAGTGTGTGACGTCAACACTCTCGACTGCTGATTGGTCGGAGAGAATCGTCACAATCGGCGCGCGACATAATCCCTAGCGTTGCATATATATATAGCGAAGCTTGCAGCATTTTTGTTAACAGAGGAGCTACAACAATGGCAAAGAAAAGCACGCCATGGTCGGTCGAGGAAGTGACGACGTTCCTCCATTATATTGCAGATGATAAGGTCCAGCGGGAGCTCGACGGGACAACTCGCAATATCAAAGTCTTTCAGGAGGTCTCTACACAGACACTGGACTCTGCAACGGCGTTACTGGAGTCTGCATGGTACGTTTTTGCTAACGCTCTGTTATTTGCTTGAAAGCTTTGTGTCCCTATCTGTTCTAAAGCTCACTTCTAACAAATAAGTCTATTTTATCCTTACATTTATGTTCGACAACCCATGCATTTATGGAGCCCCGAAGGCTAGCTAGCTAGCTAAGGCAGATAGCATTAGCTAGAGCTATTGTTTGCTAACACCATGTGTGCCATTGTTTACGTTCAGTTTGTCTTTTCTATAGTTGTTGTTGCTATTTATAGTATTGTGCTGCAGTAGTTTGTGGAATTTACAAGTCATGTTTCTGTTTTAGATGATTACATTGGGACTAGCGAGGAGGAACAGTTCCCAACAACGTCCTCTGCATCGACATCCTCCACATCAACAGCACAAACTCCAGCTTGACCACAGACACCAACACAGACACCAACATGAGCACAGACACCAACACGAGCACAGACACCAACGCCGAGTGCCAGCTCGACACCGCTGCGTGTGGTTCTAGGTAAGAAATAGGCTGGAATTGTGACTTTTAAAAAAAAAACTTTAGACCATCCATCGTCAGTAAGTAAAATAAGCTGTACCACTGTGTGGGAATGCTCTGTTACAAGTAAAGTAACTAGCTAGTAAGCAGCTAGTATCTAGGGCCAGAACTTTCTTTAATTCATCCTTACTGTTTATACATTTTATTCTTATATCCTTTTGTGACCTGTACCTGTCCTGTGTTTTTTCATTCTTATTGCTAATTCTTATTGCTATAATTATCTTGTCACCCAGGCAAGAGGAACCGAGGAGGAGAGGATCTGGCCCTGCAGGAACGGCAACTGGCCCAGCAGAAGGAACACCAGGAGCAGAACCTGCCATGCCTTTTTTATGCTGCTGCAAGAAAACACTTCCCAAATTGTGTTAAATAAAGTACTTCTTTGACTTATCTTATTGCTTGTTGATAAATAATTGCACCCAACAGCGATCACACAGAAAGATGGCATCATCTAGGCGTCCCTCTGCAGTCAGAAATATCATAAACACCATCATCGTCCACAAAGCACTGTACAGGGGTTTATGGATTTAAGAGAATACTTATCACAGTGAAACCTTTATCATCTGTTGCAATTAAAACAAATAAGAGAATAAATACTTGGTTAAATAATACATTTTAAGTCTTTAGCAGGACAACTCTGCATACTGTTTGAAATTGAGTTTGCTAGCTTGAGGTCGTCCTCTAAAACATAACATTACATATTTTGTAATGGTATTAAGAATACATGATAAATAATACATGTAGTAAAAATGACTCAATTGTAATACCCTCGTTGTGCTAGACTCAAACACATTGCTTATATTTCAAAGAGAAGAGAACAAAAGAAAACACCTATACAGAGAGCGGTGCACAGCGCTTAATATTTACTTGCACTATATTTCTGTTTATCTGGGTTATTGTGTTGCACTGTTGGAGGAGCCTGTGACCTAAGATTGTCATTGTCATAACTACACTGTAGCTATGTTCGTATGACAAAATAAAAAACCTTGAACCTTGAGGCTGTGTCTTTCAGACAAACCATCATAATCATATTATTTTATGCTGTGGATACTTTAGCCTCCATCCATGTTAACAATTTTTTACACTTGCATTTATGAATATAGTTCTGCTGTGTTTTACACTTTTGTATTTATGTTTATAGTTTGCTTTGATATTTGCTTAATTTATTAGATTATAATGGGGCAGTAAGTACTGGTGCTTGAAATTCAAATGTTTACTAAATAGTCAATTCTGATAACATTTTTTTGGTTTAAATAATTTGACAAACACATGTATGTGAAAATAAAATATGTATTTATGTTCAATACAATACAATGAATATTTAGGTATTAGATTATACATTCTATGTATTCAGGTATCGCATCAGACCCTCTCGTATGTCCCTGCCCTCCTCCTCTGCACTTCTGAAATACACGTAACTTCTGAAATACACAAGCATACATATTTTAATACGTAAAAGTGGTAGCTACAATTAATTAAATACTTGAAATACTTTGGTCGTACAGGGAGCGTGAGCCTAAACACATTGCTAGTTAGCGAACGTTAGCTTACCAAGTAGCATTGTAGTCTAGAAGAAGTAGTGATTCGAGTCGTCCTGTAGTCTCTGCGGCGTAGGACTGCCCGAACTCTCGCGTCAGCTTCTTCTATACCTCGTCTTGCTATAAGTCGCCTCTTTCTAAACAACTCTTGCCTATTTCTTGTGATAATAAACCACACAGCAAGAAACAAGCAAACGATCGCTTCCACATCCTCAATTCAGTCAATTGTTGTGTGTTGTGTCGCATTGAAGATGACGTCACGGCAGTTTTAAGCAGCGTCGCTCCGCCTACACTCCGTTACTATAGATACTACCCCAGTTCCTAAACTGTAATGGAAACGCGCCATAAAGTGAGCTGGTCCTAACGAGGCCAAGCGCGGCCAAGCGAGGCCGAGCGAGGCCGAGCGAGGCCGTGTAGTGGAAACGCGCCATAAGATAGATACTTCACAAAAAGGTCTAAGAGTACCTACTTTTGAACCAGAGCACCCCACTGTGACATCCCTTTGAAGCAGAAAAAGTGTCTCTGCTTTACTTTTACCTGTCTGCACTATAAGCCCCCCATTAAATAGAGAGAATGGATAATGGATCAATGCTGTTAGCAGGCCTCTCATTTATACAAGATTTATTAAGATCTGTTTTTCAAGAAGGCCTAAGTACAAATGGAAACTGTTGGCTGTTACCCAGTAAAAATGCATTGCACATCCTTTATGTGTGTGTCTCACTAAGCTGTCATACAACTTTGGTTGTCAAATTGCCAAGTCAACCCAGGGTTTCTCAGAAGGTGAGTTGTTAGGCAAGTAATCATTGCAATCCGTCCTGGTAAGAAGTGAACCAGCGTTGTAGGACTGAAAACCCTTGAGTTACCTAACCCCAAATCCTGCTTCGTAGTACAGACCATTGGTTTTCTTTTCAGTCTCTGTTTTGGATGTCAATATGCAATATAACTAAACTCCTAAGTCATATGCTATACTCTATCTATTAGATATCCACAAGAGTGTGGATCAGAGAAGTAACATCTGACCTACTCTTGTAAAATGCACAAATGTTATTTTTATTGGTTTAGAGCTACATTAAAATGATTAAAAAGAGGTCTGAAGATTGTAAAAAGAGATATTACTATGAGGAAGTGAACACATGCACACGATGTATTGTATCAAGACCAAAGTGTCTATTTAATATTTTAGCCAGTTTTGAATACTGAGGAGATACAATGGACATAAGAAAACATATAAAGCACAACATTCTAAAATCTACTTTCAAATCTATATCACATTTCAAACATCACTAATCCAATGTTGTTTAACATAAGTAATGAAACATGGTTTGTCTACAGCTTGACACCAGAGTACACACATTCATCGTTGGGGATGTTCCTCTGTCGTCTTGATCTGTTGGGCACATTGACACTTACAGCAGCATAATGGATGCTGCCTGCATCCTGGTAACCCTGGTAACAAAATATATAGAAATGGATAAAGATATTGAACAGGAGTAAAAATGCATCTGATTAAAACATTTAACTTCTTTAGATAAATGATACCTCTGTA